TTCTATCCTCTCCCTGCATCCCTGGCAGGACACACATCCCCCACCTCTCTCCAGCCCTGGCAGGAGTTGCAGAGAGCCAGGAGGTCACCCCTGAGCCTCTTCTCCAGGCTACCCAAGTCGTACTCTGCTGGAGCCAGGCCAAGATGCCCTTGGCTTCCTTGGCCACCTGTACACACTGTTGGCTCCCACTGAGCTGTGCCACCAGCACTGCCAAGGCCCTTTTTGATGACCGAAGTCGAAGCTGGTGGTGCTCCAGCAGAGCCCCTGTGATCCCCTGCTCCCCTGTTCTATCTGAGCCCCTCAGCCCACCACATCCCTCTCTGCCTGTTGTTTGTCACAAGTGCTAGTTAGAGAGATTGAAGCTGAGCACAAGCAAGTGGGTAATGCTGAAATGATTCACACTTGAAAGAAAAACGATAGAGAGAAGATGCTTTTTCCTCATTCGAAACCATTTTGTCAGAAGAGCCACTTAGGGAGAGATAAGTATCTCGAACTCTCCAAAACCACAGAATTCATTTTCATGTTTAACCTCCCGTCACCCATTTCTCTCAGGGAGTCTAAGAGGATGCAGATAAGGCAGAATTATCTCTGGAGCAGGTAATAGCTGGAGGACCTCTCTTCTTGGCCAGTCTCCTGTTTTGTCAGCAGTTGCAAATGAGGATGGTTTGAAATCAGAGTGTTAACAAGGATGGGAGCGACTGCTCTCTGCAGCCTTCCGAGAGCTCTGCAGGGGGTTGGGGCAGTGGAGGAGCCTGATGCTTGCACTGCTCCAAATGTGGGGTTTGAGACATCCTCATCTCCCTGGGGATCCCACTGGAGGTGTCAGGCAGAGCCCCAGAGCACCCCAGGATGCAGCACCCTCCCCAGCACCTTCATTGAATCATTCAGGTTGAGAAAGGCCTCTAAGACCATCCAGATGTCAGAATCACAGAACCATCAAGGTTAGAGGAGACCTCTAGGAGCATCAAGTCCAACCATTAACCTGTCACTGCTGGAACCCCTAAACCAGATCCTCCAGTGTCAGATCCAGATGCCTCAAACACTTCCAGGGATGGTGACTCCACCACCTCCCTGGACAACCTTCCCAGGCTCAGTCCCAAGGGACACATCTGAGAGGCAGCTGAGGAGGTTTCCTAGCAAGGGCTGACAGGCAAGGACAGATGCCTCCAGGGCCTTTTATTTAGGGTAGAACAAGCAATGTGTCTATCAGCAAGATCATTTGGATAGTAGATGTCATTCCTGAGTCTCATAGGCAAGAAAAGATCCCAGTGTTTAACTTGTTTCTGAACACACCCTGCACCCAGCTCCTCCAGATCATACACCCAGGTCCTCTACACATCCTGCGCTCAGGTCCTCCAGAGCTTGCATCCAGGTCCTCCAAACCCACACCCAGATCCTCCACAGAGCCTGCACCCAGGTCCTCCATAAAACTTGCATCCAGGTCCTTCACAGAGCTTGCACCCAATTCCTCCAGAGCTATCACCCAGATCCTCCACAAAGTCTGTACTCAGGACCTCTACACAGCCTGCACCAAGCTCGTTCCCACAGCGTGCACACAGCTCCTCCTCCTCCCATCCACAGGTCCTTCATACCTATACTACACCCCATTGTGCTCCCTGGGGCAGGAATCCTACACAGCACAGCAAAAGAAACTAGCTTCTATCCCTCCCGTGCTCCTACTGACAATATTTTTTTCTTTTAATTAATTTCTCATAAAAAATAGAAAATAAAAATAAAAAAGGCACAGCTAAAGGCTAAGGAAAAGGTCAAGATGTTTGTTTGCGCAGAATGTCTGCCCTGCATCCCCAGAGGCAGCACGGGCTGATGCTTACTGGTTAAAGAAATCAATTCATTTCCAAAAAGATCATTGAATTAATTCTAGCTGCTGCCACCAATTTAGCCAATTAAAATTCCTAACGGCAGCTGATTCATTAAAGAACTGGGAAAATAGAGAGAAACATAAATAAGAAGGGAAGCAGTTGAAAGGGAACTCTCCAACCACGGTTATGTTTGGGGTGTTAAAGCTAAGCCAAGCACTTGTGTGGATCTTCTAACAATTTGGGCTTTAACTGCTTTTTCCAGTGTTTGTTTATTTTGCCTTGCAACAAATCAACACCAGAGCTCTCCCAGGAAGGCAAAATCTCGGAATGAATCAGCACTGGGCTGGGTTTGGGTCTTCTGGATGAAGGTCTTTGTCTCCAGCTCCTCCCAGTGAACAAGGAGAGGGGTGAAAGAAATGTGGAATCATAGAAACATGGAATTTTAGGGATTGGAATGGACCTTAGAGATCACCCAGCCCCAACCCCTGCCCTGGGCAGGGACACCTCCCACCAGAGCAGGTTGCTCAAGGCTCAGCCAACTTGGCTGTGAACACTGCCAGGGTTGGGGCAGCCACAGCCTCCCTGGGCAACCTGCGCCAGTGTCTCACCCCCCTCACAGGGAAAACTTCTATCTAGCCTAAATTTCCCCAACATGTGTAAATAGATACATATATCTATATAACCAACATACAATCACCCACATCTCAATTAATGCACTTAAAGTCCACAGCATTGACTAAAGGAGCTCCCCCAAACTCCTGCCCATGCTTGGCCACATGCATTTCCAACCACAGCACTGACACACATCCCAAATCTCTGCCTATCCACTTGGGAAAGGAGCTGCTGGGGGAGGAGGAAAGAATCTCACCTGCTGTTGTGTCATAGGAGGGATGTGGGAAAGGTCCAAGTGCAATGGGCATGGGGAAGAGGTAGCCATGCATGCAGAACTTGGGGTGTGCTTGGCTGGCTGAAAGAGATTAAAAATGTATAGTTAAATCCCTGTTTGCTTCTATTTTCTGCTAAATCACAGTGCTCTAGTCTGTAAAATCTCTCAAACCCTCACTGAAATCTGAAATCTGGGGAGTAAAAAGGGATTGTAAATCCCTGTTAGAGAGAAAGCATGCAAAGAAGGATGAGAGGGGAGATGCAAGAGGATCTGAGATCGGTCCTCATATGTCTTCTCATCTTCATAACCTGAGTCTGAGGTGAACATAAATCATGAAAGATTGAGCAACCAAACCCAGTGTAAATATTCCCATGGCTATTTTCCTTCAGAGAATGTTCCAGACCACCTGGAAGGGGCAAAGGTGTTTAGGTCCCAGAACAAGGTACCTCCCAAGCCCTTCAGTTGGTTCAGCTCAATTCAATTAGCAAGGAAATGCCCCATCAATATTAATACCACTGAGGCTTCTCATGATTAACAGGAAGAGAATGAATGTTAAATGAATTAATTAATGGTTGGCCACTTATTTAAATATGTTCCCCAGCTCAAAGGAACACTTTATAATAGGTGGACATTAGTTCATGCTAAATTGACTATGGAATACCTATTGAATTAATTATTACATCCAGGAGAGCAGCAAATTAATTTGCCATGATCAATCCTATTATAATAAATACCTAAAGAAGTAGGACACATTTGCCAGTTATCAGAGTGAGTCATTTCACTTCAGGTAACATTATATTATGGATTTCCATATCATGTAATTAGATAGCAAACTCCCTCTCTCCAGCCTGGCCCTTCTGAGCGAGAACTTGCTGTAGGAAGAACCTCACATGGTTTAGCTGAACAGTGCTGGGAATTATTCCTGCAGGATTTTACAGGGAACGGGTCAGGGGCTGAGGGACAGCAAAGTCATTAGAAAGTTTAATCACTGCAGAGTAAATTTATTGTGGGAACCTGAATTATTTGCAGGAAAATTCTCTGTGAGGTGGTCACACTGCTCCACAGGCATGTGAGAATCTTTGATGGACCAAAGCCCCAGTGGGCACAGGGTCAAGGTTTCTGCAGCCTTATAGATTCATAGATTGGTAAGGGGTTGGAGTGGAGCTTAGAGATCATCCAGCATCCAGGGAAAACCTCTGCATAAGATCTCGCCTCAATTTTCCTCCTTCAATTTGTCCTCATTGCCCCTTGTGCTGTCCCTGCAGCTCCTAACACAGATCCCTCTGCAGCTTCCCTGGAGCCCCTTCAGCTCCTGGAAGGTGCTCTGAGGTCTCCACACAACCTTCTCTTCTCCAGGCTCAACAGCCCAACTTCCTCAGCCTGTCCTCATTGGGGAGATGCTCAAACCCTCCGAGCAACTTCGTGGCCTCCTCTGCACTTGCTCCATGTCCTTCTCACATTGAGGCACCAGAGCTGTGTGCAGGATTCCAGGATTCAATGCTAATGGCCAGGAAGGACATGGGTTCAAATATAGCAGAACTTAGCTGAACACAAACACCAAGAGGTGTAGTGAGAGAGTTGTCCTTGCTGGTGGAAGCCACAGCTTCCTAAGGTTTTGAAAATTATATCAAGAGGTTCCTACATTTCTGTGAACAATCCTCTGAGAGCAAATCCAAGTCAAGAAACGAGCAGAAAAAGGGCACAGAAGGGCTGAGCCAGGTTTGCTTTTGATAGCCACATGATGAGAATGAAAACCGATGAAATAAAACCAACTTGGAGCCTTTCTTGTGCTTGTTTCCCATTCAAACTGGGAGTGAATGCTGTGGGAATGGTGTAGTGGTTTTATACTCACTGTACCAGAAGGTCCAGATGCTCTCTGGGTGGCCCTCACCAAAGAACCAGCACCTCCAGAAGAAACCCTCGTGATGGAAAGTAAGGATCTCCTTCCTGACCTCTGCTGGTGTCTCAGCCTGTAGAGGAATGAAAGCCCAAGCTGACACAGGGAAGGTCATGGTGCAAAGTGTGCATTTTTGCGTGGGGGTTTTCAGTTGTTGTGTGTGGTGGGTTTGGAGGGGATGGGGAACTCAGACAGCACCTGGCTTTGACTTTGTGCCATGTGACATGAACTGCAACAAATTCTGTTGTGTGGAGGACACTTCCCTCACCTCAGTGTTTTTATGCATCACTTGATGACAACTTCCAGAGCTCTGACCTGATTCTCCTTCAACTTTCAGGTTAAAATCCTATGACAACAGCAACATCCAGCCCTGAAACCTCCTCAGCTGAGTGGCTGCTTACTTAGTGCCTCCACTTCACTGCTGCTTGGAAGATACTCCAGCCTATCCTTATCTGCCAGGGACAGCATTTGCCAGTTAAAGAAAGGGCAGAGAAGGTAAAAACACAGCCTGTTCTCCATGAGAGTCACAGAAATAGAAATAATAGACACAGTGTCTGAAATAGAAATAAAACAGCTCAGAGGGAAGGGGAAGAGCAGCTCCTATTTCTGCCTGGAGCTTTTGAAGTTGCTGTGCCTCAGCAACAGCCACATGAACACTTGGCCAAGAGCAGATCTGAAATGGTGGAGCTGTTTAT